CGGAACGTGTTGCTAGACTGATCGCAGAAACCTAGAAGAACTTGTCGCTTCGTAGCCATTTAACCGACACCCCGTAACAACCGAATCTGCAAACAATGTTGTGGAGTCAGTAGAATACTAACAGAAACACAATAAAATCTGTTATCAAGAGACCTTCGTCTGGCGAACTGGTGCAGTAAGATAGCACGAGAAAAAATTATCGCACCAGTTGTTCACCAGCGTAGCAACAGAAAACAAGCCTCAAGTGCGACAGATCGACTGCCGGGTCTGCCATTTTGTAACCATTTAAGTGATACGTCGTTTAAACGTTAACAAAACAGCAGAGACTCTGCCATTGTATCCCCGCGTTGTGTCTACACGGCATGTGTCTCGCGCCAAGTGTAAGCGTAGCTAGAACCGCGCGCGCGTAGTTGACGCGATAAGATTTACAGCCGATACACCCGAGCCTGATATCCAGATTTCACTATCGGGGACTCGGTATCGGATCGACGTGTAAACGTTAAGAGTCTTGGCGACTCCACGACGGAGAGTACTCGAGCCGACGTGACAGATTCGTTATACCTGACGCGAACGCTCGTCGTTCCCTCGACTGCTGTCGTCCCTCGGGTCGACGGCGACCGCCGCCGCCGCCGCCAGGGTGTCGAGCGGCGCCGGGACCCGACGGCCTGGTGGCGATCGCGCGTACCGGAACACCACGACGGTGAGGAAGACGGTGAACGCCGCCAGGAGGAGGAACTTGACCAGGCTGATCACGTTGCGTCTCATCTTCGCGCGCGGACCATGTTCTCGTGCCGGCCTGCCTCACGAGGACTTAACCTCACCTCTCGCCACTCGTCGCGCGTACGTGGCAGACGCGGGCGGGCCTCGCGGCGCGAATGGACGGTCGCCGCCGGCGCGCATCCGTCATCGCCGCCGCGCGGCTGTCAGGAAAGCCCCGAGACACGTCCGCCGGCTCTCCCGCCCGTGCGTTTCGGCGAGCGCGACGATAAGAGGCGCCCAGTAGGCCGCCCCCGACGCAGCGACTGCAGCGAGTCGGACAACAACACGCGCGACCCCCGCCGCTCGCCCCCGCTCAGCCGCTGCGTGACGACCGATCGGGGTGGGTGGGAGAGAACCGGGGGATCGCCCTCGCGGGAGAAACCTCGTTGGGGAAACTCGCGTTTTCTATATCGGTTCCGCTCGCTCGCCTGTCTCTCCCATCTTCTTACCGCCCGTGCGAACTTAACGGTTCTTATCGATTATCCGTCGATCGAGAGGCCCCTGCTCTTGTATGAACGCACAAGTAGCGAACATGTGAATTTGAAGGATTTATGTATGGAGTATTCGTGACGGCGCTTCGATGAAATTGCGATTAATAGAGGGGAGTCTCCTATTACGAGATAGGCCCCTAATACGAGACAGCGGAGTTTCCGCTAAGTGGAAAATCGATATTAGATCGTGTAATCGTTGCAAACGAAGATTCGTGATTGAATTTAGACGTCGAAAACCCGCTATCTCATATTAGAATCCTAGGCGCTTCGATGAAATTGCGATTAATAGAGGAAAGTCTCCTATTACGAGATAGGCTCCTAATACGAGACAGCGGAGTTTCCGCTAAGTGGAAAATCGATATTAGATCGTGTAATCGTTGCAAAACGAAGATTCGTGATTGAATTTAGACGTCGAAAACCCGCTATCTCATATTAGAATCCTAGGCGCTTCGATGAAACTGCGATTAATAGAGGAAAAGTCTCCTATTACGAGATAGATTCCTAATACGAGACAGCGGAGTTTCCGCTAAGTGGAAAATCGATTGTTAGATCGTGTAATCGTTGCGAAACGAATTTAAGATTCGTGATTGAATTTCGACGTCGAAAACCCGCTATCTCATATTAGAATCCTGTTTCATAACAGAGGACTTCCCTCTATAATTTACCCGCGCATTGATTGATGCCGACGGAGTAGCTCGGAGCAACATTTTTAACTGTGTATTTCTGTACACTTGGAAGATATCGCCAAGTACAAGCTATTATAGATGTGTTTCCGATACATCGGGAGATACCTTGGCGCTTTCCTAGCGAACAACTAAGTAGAGGAAAATCCTCTACTCTCTATTATGAGATAGGCTTCTTTAACATAAAAAATTAATCACAGATCTTTATTCACAACGATTACACGATCTAACAATGAATTTTCCACTAAACAGATTTCACTTCGAGGGCAATAAATTCACGATGAAACCAAATAGATGATGTCTATTAATTTAGCAAAAACTCTGCTGTCTTGTATTAGGAGGCTTATCTCATAATAGGGGACTTTTCTCTACCTAACATCAATATAACGTGTCATATTACATTTATATTGAAGTTATGTAACTGTTACTTTGGTGTTTGCTGGGTTCTATGGTATAGATTATAGAAGTACCACTTATTTAAATGATAGTATTGCTGTTAGGATTCCGCCTCGTTATTAAAATAATAATAGCATATTCTGCATATTCTGAGAATCTCGAAGAGCAACACACAGACGCATAGTATCGGAGATATTCTCAGAATATTAAGAAAATTTCTTAGGTATGTACATTTTCTATAATGAATGTGTAGAATATCGTGTGCTATTATGGACAGGTATTGCCCAATAAATTGATTGAATCGGCGATTAATTCAATTGACAGAATTGCTTGCGGTAAAATGTTTAATTACACCGTATAATTCTTTAAACTAAATCTTCAAACAGTAAAAAAAATCAATAATGCTAGTCACGCTACAACAAAATACCGCACGTATTACTTGCTAAATTGCAGATCATCGATTGACTTATTTGATTTAATTTTACCAGCAGAATTGCTTGTAAATAATATAGCTAGCTGGACAAATCGTTATTACTAATCTCTGATTTCTTTCCTGCGTTTCAAGCAACGAGAATTAATAATTCTACGTATTCAGTAATTCAGTTCTATTCGTTAACGATCAATATTATATGAGTTGCACGATAAATTAATCCTCAACTGAGTTAATTATGAAAGTGAAAATCATTTTGGTGAAAATCCCTAGTGTGGACCCAAAGAAGAAAACATTCTGTTAATTAAGTTTGTTGTATTCGTTTAAAACCGTATCTTTAAAATCGAATTTTGAAAGAAGTGACTTCGAGATTAAAGTTACTTCGATTTTCTTAATTTGATCTGTTTTAGCACATTTCAGCTGTTTTAATTTGCATTCTCCGTCATCGAAGGTTTAATCGCGGTCATATCCTTGTATTATTGCAACTAATATCGGCATCAGTGTCTAAACCTCGATTTCACCTGCAACGATTGCATCATGCGACCTGTTTCTGCAACACGCGTAACCTGCCATTATCGTATTATTCGTAACACCTGTAGCTGGTCTCCTTCTAAAAGATACTCGTACATGCGCGTATGGAAGTAACAACTATAATATGCTTCTTTCGCGCCGTCAATTTACACAACTATCTTTCGCTAGGAAATAAAAAGAATTCGGAATTTGATATGTCGGATTGTTGCTCAAATTGCTGACGAGATGTTCACCAATATTATTTTATTAAAACGTCCAATCTGTATACTGTTTTATTATCAAGTTGAATTATTAATATTGTGTCGCTTAACATATTGAAAAGAATATTAAATTAAGGACAATAAATTGCAATTTTTCTGGGGAAACTAATCGATTAAGTTAATCGTAATTTGATAAAAGTCTCACATACATACACCGTATTTTTTTTTCGTTTTATTTATTTATTATATCAATTTTATTTTGTGCATGTATGCGTGTGTAATAAAATTATTCTTATAATTTCATTCAATTTGCAATTAACGTATATGTTGTCATTTAAATTCTTTAATGTTTCGTCCATTCGCAGCTGCTGAAGCGGCGGGAACGATCTTCATTCTTTCTACGATATCCACGAGCAGCATAGAGGAAGTGGCGGAAGCTGCGCCGAAGGGAATCAAGTGGTTCCAGCTCTATATTTATACTGACCGGAATGTTACCTTAAATTTGATAAGGCGCGCCGAACGTGCTGGCTTCAAAGCGCTGGTTCTCACCATCGACGCGCCGTTTTTCGGCGACAGACGCGCCGACTTGAGGAATAAGTTCTCGCTGCCCAGTCACTTGAGGTACCTATAATTCATTGTATTTAAATAGACTTCATAGCATTATACAGATAACCAGTGTTCTCGCACTTTATTTTAGATTCGCAAATTTCCAAGGTGATTTGTCGAAGCGAATAAATTCCGCGAAGGCCGGCTCTAGTCTGAATGAATATGTTACCGCACTTTTCGACGCATCACTATCCTGGGATGACGTCAAGTGGCTTAAAAGGTATTCGCGCATCATCGTTTGTGAACTCTCCTTATCTTCGTGTTTTGGAATATTAAATTTTTTTTCATCACACTTGGTGCACCGAGCAAATCAAGCGAGTATCTGGATCAAATTATTGCAGAACTACAAAGCTACCGATAATTCTTAAAGGAATACTGACGGCGGAGGACGCACGTTTAGCCGTGGAAAATGAGATCGACGGCATCATAGTATCGAATCACGGCGCGCGTCAAATAGACAGTGTTCCAGCAACGGTTGGCTCATTTCTTACCTAAACAAGTTTTGTTATATTGGAAAGCACAATATATTAATATTAGATTATAATGATATGTTATCAATATATTTTATTTTATTAAATATAACAATTTAATTAAATAATTTGTAATTAAAAAAGAAAGCTTATTTATGGATTCTTATTTGAATAATATTCATCAATATGTGAACCTTTGATTTGATTACTGCTTCACAGACATTTTGCAATCATTTGGAAAAGATCAGTACGTGAATTATTGAAATAATTGTGTTTGCAGATCGAAGTTTTACCTGAAATAAGCAAAGCCGTGGGAGGTAAAGTCGAAATATACATGGATGGTGGTGTGACGCAAGGTATCGACGTGTTCAAAGCTTTGGCATTAGGTGCAAAGATGGTACGTCTCGTCCAATTTGAAAAATAAATTCTCGTTGCCCAACCACTTGAGGTACCTAGAATTAGAATAATTCACTTGAGGTACCTATTTATTGTATTTAAATCAAATTCATAATAATATACGGATAAATAAAAGAATCATTTCACACGTCATAATATGTCCAATAATTCTTTTAGTGTTACACAATCTTTTCACTTACACGTTTTCGTCCAGATTTAATCGATTGCGTTCCTTTTTTTCAGGTATTCTTTGGCAGACCAATGCTGTGGGGCTTGGTACACGGTGGCGAGAAAGGAGCTAGTGAGATTCTCGAGCTCATGAGAAGAGAAATTGATCTCGCATTGGCATTAACTGGTAAATTAAAATCTAAGTTTTTACGTCACTTGTACATACTTATTAATTCACTAAAATATTTTTAAAACAAGCATTTCTTCTAGGTTGCGCATCTGTGAAAGATATTACACAGGATATGGTAATACATGCATCCTACTATAGCCACTTGTGAAAAGAAATGAATTTCATGTTAGACATAATCGCAGATATTTTCAGATATGTACAGATATCATATACAGATATGTACACGCATGATAAATATATCCGAAGGGTATCGGCAAAAACTTTCTCATTTTTCTAAAGATTTAGTGAAGATTTGCTAAAGATTTATAAAAATATATTATATATCATACACTAAGATTGTATTATACAAATTATTAATTACTTATTCTATTTGTATTTTTTGTTGTTGAGCAAATACATGTGCACATTGCCTTTTGTACTAACCCAGATAACATGCATGTCTAAAAGACATCTTTAAGATGTCTTTAACACGTCTTTTAGACATCTTTTAGACATATATATACACGTCTAAAAGATATCTAAAGGCTGGTCTACAATACATGGAGTAAGCTGGAGTAAGGAGTAGGAGTAAGGAAATAAATCCATTTTATTTCTTACTCCTACTTCAGCTCTTAGGCTTACTCTCGGTGAATCAAAATGCCATCAATCAGTGTTACAATTATTTTAAAAATCATGCCCGTATTTCAGCTTCCTTACACCAAAAGCTAGAAGTTAGGGCTCTCCCTTACTTCTTACTCCACGCTTACTCCACGTATTGTAGACCACGCATTAAAGACGTCTTAAAGAAGTCTTGAAGATGTCTTTTAGACAAGCATGTTATCTGGGAATCTACGCAAGTTTTAATATCAGGCTCGCCGGCTTAAATAAAACTCCTATAACAAGAATAAAAACTTAAAATTTGTAATATTGTTTTATAAGAACCTCCAACTTGTATTGTATAAGCATGTCAGTTTTATTGTTTCTAAAATACATTACAATAAGCCACCTTATATTCTTTCCGCAACCTCTTATAAATCGAGGCACAGGACAACTATGTAGGATGAGGATTGGAATCAAATCCGCTAATAATTAATAAGTCGCTCTTATAGTAATGCGTCACATCTCACATTTGTACTGAATTTGTCCAAATTGATCATTATTTAATCAAATGAACTTTAATAACTAATTATGTTGCATTTCATAGTTGCGCGTGTCATTCAGTTATTACAATATAACTTTTTTTACATTTTTTTCTCCTGTCAAGCATCAATCTTAATTTCATAAATCTGGTTTTACGTAAATAAATTTTTATGAAAAGATCCGAGATATTTTTATTAATGTCAAATACACAAAATGATATAAGTACCAAGAATAATGGGGAAAATTATGGAATATCTTTACAGGAATAGTAAAGTTTATATCAGCAAGTCATAATACCATATGTATACGTCGTAACCAGAATTGCTATTAATATAAATAATATAGCAACTTTGTTATGCGTTATATGTATTTTTCAATTCGTAAATTAATTTTAATAAATCAGTACGTTTTGTCGGGACCATTTTCGTAACGATACTACAATCGCACTCGTTTACTTTAGAATTTCTTATGGCATGCCTAGATATTACATCTGCTAAACACAAAACGTACAAACCACAATCGTAGTTATTATTTTGTTGCGGGCACTTCATTTCAGTGTATTTTCTCTCCTGTTTCTCAAGAAAGTATTTCGTCACTTTCCGTGCGAGCTTTGTCGCGGAGAAGTCGTTAATGCCGCCTGACGAATCAAAGTGATAACACATTTGTTCTGTATGAGAATATATCAATAAACTCCAATGCGAGCCACCTGCCTCGTTGCTATCACAGTCATTTAGAGGGAAAAATACAAAGTCGTAATTTGTCGCTTCAATAGGGTCAAGAAATATGTTGTACTGCGACGAATCCTGCATTTTTAACAGCTGAGCCACTTCGGGTCCGATAAATAACAACCGGCTGTCCTTATACTGTTGATTCAGATATTCAAAATAGAATCCTATTATAATGTCGTTCAGCCAATCATTTTTCTCCAGTAATGCAACATCCGATGCCCTGAGTAGATAGTCGTGATAGCTCAACACAATGTTGTTCTTGTCCGGCCTCGTTGGATAAGCATCGTGGGATGATAAATGCTTCGAATTCGAAGGCAAAACTGGCATAGTACTAAAATCAGAAACAATATCAAACCCAATGGAGACTTTTATCCGGCAACATGGGGTAGAAAAGAACATTCTTTATTTCACTTTGAAAAAATATATATCCAGCAAGCAAAATCTTGAAAGCCAAATATGCTGAGAATAGATATTGAAAGTGTTTATCACAAATCTTGTCGATGAACTGTCGGTGGATACATAACAGGTTTTGCTAACAAAACTGGCCAATTGACTGCACAAACTGAGCAAATCTGTTGTTTTGTCACCGCACGTATTCTACTTGAATATTTATGAAATAACAGATTCCGCTTGGTTTACGTTGACAATTATCAGATTACATTGATAGATAAAACACAAATTTAATGCAAACACAGATGATACAGGAGCTGTTGCGATATCCGAGTAAATTGACTGCCAATCTCTTATACGGTGGACAATTTACTCGCTGGGATATTAACACTCCATAAACAATTTGACACCAGATTCGAACAATATGTTGCGATAGATTGGCATCTTTTTTTTTGCTTTCCCCTCCACGGGGACGCCGTCAACCGTTAGGTTTTATTTGGCGTGCCTTCTTGCTCTTATGTCTTTGTCTATACTATTTTTCCTGTTCCCCTGATGAATTGGTATACAAGTTGTAATTTATCCCAGTCTTCTCTCGTCAGATAGATTGGCATCTGCGTCGCGTTAGGTTCTTACTCCGTCGAGAGAGCACAATGACATAATCTGACAGCAGATCACTCATTATACATCAAGGTGACAATTGCACAGATGCCACCGGCTCCAGCCAGGATTGTAGCACAAGATTACTCATTGTCAGTCGTAAATATTTGCTATCTTGATGTTAATCTCTCTTAAAAGAGGTTGTCAAAAGAGGTTTCCTTTTAAAGTTTATCCCGAAAATTATATAATCGTGGAACAACACGGCATTGCGAAGAATTTTACGCGAGTGTTTGAAAGTTTGCCGTACATTTCAGCAGTAATTGTATTTAGTATACACCCAGGGAAAAATATAAAATGACGTGAATTTGATGTCATCTTGACTTTTCATTTTTCCTTGGGCATTTTACTGTAAAGTTCTTCAAAATGCCGTGTTGTCCCACGATTTGCAGGAAGAATTGTAAGAGAAATTCTCTCCGTGTACCGAATCTGCACAATATTCTCAAGCACATATTGATAAATGATAACGAAATGGCAAATTCTACTTGCTTCCTGTAGGCAATCTATCGCCGCATTTCGCGCCGATTCGGTCGTACTGCTGCTGACGTTCTGTCGACAAAATTTGTAACAAGCAATTCTGTTCTCGAGTGATTCGAGTATACGTGCGGCGAGATAAATAAATTATACACAGGAGATAATTACAAACGCTTTTCTCTTCCTATCGTATTATGGATGCCCGTCTCGTTTGTGCGTTGTATTAACCTTTCCTTTCTTTTCTAGAAATATCTCTTGTTTAGATTATTTATATTTTCTCTTGCGACGGGGGATAGCGTGTGTTGACAAATGCCATGACGGAATCTTCTGGTACACATATATGAACACACATATGCACGCACGGCGTCGTGTCT